GAAGATTATGAAGATAGTTTCTCAAGAAACTTAGTTTAAGATATCAACAGTTCATCAACAATGACACGCAACATTTTGAGCTTATTATGTCTTCTCGTTAATTTTAGCAAAGTTGCTTATACCAATAAGTTGAACAATGCCTTTATTTTAAGTTATTATCGCATTGAACATGTAATCCAACAACAAAAATTTAAATTGTTTCGCAAACAAAAAGAAGCAAAAGTTGGGTTGATCATGTTCATAATTAGGCACACATACGTTGCTATTTCTTGAGGACTGATTCCAACATCGAAGACCCAGCAAAAACTGGAACCGGTAGAACCGCGGTCTGGCTCAGTTCTTAATTTCGACCAACTTCGGTTCACGGGCGGGGTCTGGTTCGGGCCGATTCCAACCAGGTTGGTTCCGTTGCTCATCCTTATGTTTTATTCCACGGGCAATGTAAGAATAGCAAACTTTTAAATTTTCTATTTTTTACGTATGCTTTCTTCTTTCTTAATAATTAATGGTTCACGATTAATCCTAGCCTAGTCGATTAATATCTTAACCCCAGTCCACCGATTAGTTAAGATCGAACTATTCTTTTACAACCTTATATATATATATATATATATATATATATATATATATATATATATATATATATATATATATATATTCCCATGTATAAATTATGCTTATAATTAATGTAATTTTTTGTTTTCATGATTTATGAATATGGTCATAAATGAATGTAAATATGAAGTAACTTAAAACTTATTATCATATATGAACATTTTTTGAATATTTGTTCATATAAGTTTTTTTTTTTAATATATATATATATATATATATATATATATATATATATATATATATATATATATATATTTAGGTTCTATGAAAAACAAAAAACACTAAACAAACCCTAAAAATTGAAAAAATGCATAAAAAAAATACTTAGGGATCAGAAAAAAAAAATTTACTTTTTTTTTTTATGAAAAAATTACAGCTTTTAGTATAAAATCGCTGACTTTTTTCTTTAATTTTTTTTTCAAAAAATTAAATTTTATTTTTTTTTCAGCGATTTTATTAAAAAGATGCGATTTTTCGATAGAAAAATTAAAGAATTTTTTTGTGATCTCTAAGTATATTTTTTATGTATTTTTGATAATTTTTAGGGTTTTTTTGTTTTCGAAATAACCCTTCCATATATATATATATATATATATATATATATATATATATATATATATATATATATAGAGAGAGAGAGAGAGAGAGAGAGAGAGAGAGGTTCCGTTGAGATTAAAAATAAAATATTGATCTTGAGATTCAACCTCAGTCATGTATTTTACATCTGCCGCTCTAATCCTCCAACGTACCGGCACGACAAGTTTTATATAATCATAAATGATTATACAGTCCCGCCCGTTCATTTCTCCTCCGCCACTATCCCCACCACCATAACTGTCACTGCCACCACCACTACCACCACCTTTAACACCAGTCGACCCCACCACAGTCACATCCGTTACTTATACCACCGCCACCTTTGTCACCACTACCTCTTCTGCCACCAACTGTCATAATCATTTATGATTACTCAATTTGTGAACAAATATATATGTATAATCATTTCTGATTTGGCATATATGTATAAATATTTATAATATTATATGATTACACCTTTCTGTCATATAATCATTTATGATTAGTCTTACGTTGTTGTTGCCGGTATGTTGGAGCATTAGAATGGCAAATGAGAAATATGTGGTCGATGTTGATGATGGGTTTTGGTCATAAGACATCTTATGTGCTCATACAAACCCTAATGCTCGGATCTAGGTTTCTCTATTGTACATGCTTTGAATCCAAGACTATAAACCCTAATTCTAGTATATGAAATCGATATTAACATATGAATGGGTTTAAGAACATACCTTGATTGGTATAGAGTAATAACAATCCTAATTCCTCCTTGAATTGACTTTGGAATGCTTAGAGTCACAAGTGTCACTCCTCTAATGGCTTACAAACACCAAGAGCAAATGGAGAAGGTATAAAGAGAGAGGAGAGAGGTTAGAATTCATCCTTAGGACTCCTTAGGAAGGGATACACGAATTCATGAGCCTTGGGGGCTTTATATAAGTGTTCAGATAGGGTTTCAGTCATTATCCTTATCTAGTTGCTTATCCACAAAGCAACCCATAAGATAATCCTTGAATCCTTATCATAGTCGAATTCTAAGGCCTTATCACCTTAAATTCGTCCAACCTAATAATAAGATAATCCTTACCTTATTTTGTAACTATCACATAATTACAAATCAGCCCCTCTAGTTTAATTAATTACATTTGATCACAAGATTAATTCCTAATTAATTATTGACCAATATTAATTAAACAAATATGATTTCTCCTTTAATATATTATTCTTATAACATATTAATAAATCATAATAACCTCTCTCTCTCTTTATTTATTTCTCCAATCAAGTTGCTTTGGTGAATGCAACCCAAAAGGACCATGCACCATCGGGTCAAGTACATACCAAAATAGTTATGGACTTAGACACTAATCCAACAGTTGAATCTCAAGATTTCTACTTTTTTGTAATCTCAAGTGAACCCTCTCTCTCTCTCTCTATATATATATATATATATATATATATATATATATATATATATATATAATGTGGATGAAAAACTATTGTGCGGACGTGTGAATGATACTATTTTATGAGAATTACTAAGAGAATATGTTCTTTAGTAATATGAACTAGGTGGGGAGACCCCGCGTTGCGGGGGTCGGATGCGATAATTTCTTCCGTTGTTTGTTCTTTGTAAATGTTATTTGATCAACTATTTGTTTATAGTTTGAGTTTGTTATGGGGCAGTAATATTGTTTCATCATGAATAATTTTTTTTGTTGTCGGATAAGCTATTTATTGAAATATATACTTCATGGGTTTATTCTTTGGTTGATGGGATCGAACTGGAGAGCCGGATTCCACGGATCAAATACTTCATGGGTTTTTCCTCATTAAGTGTTGTCTAAGTATAACATTGGCTAGCTCAAAAAACATTTGATAAATTGACAACACACATATCAGATAAAAGCAAAGTCACCACAACAAACAAAAAAGAATCAATTTGTCGTCGGTTTTGTTAGATTCCATAAGCCCTAAGAAAAGAAAAGAACAAAAAACATATCAAAACTTTGAAAAACAAATAAATACAGTCAAGAAATGAATGCCAATAATTTATCATACCACGTTTTGAACATTTATAGTTTTTATAACCGCGTTCTTCCTCAAAATTCTATGATATATTTAGTTTACTGTCCATCAACGCTCATACAGAAGAAGCCCAATGGCCATATTCTCTGTAAATATTCTTTTATGTAAATAATCTTCCATGAACTATTTGTTTATACTTTAAACACTGTTATGGGTATTTTTTTTTTAAACATAATAGGCAGTGTTTATGATGATAAATAGAACTAATATGTAAATATTCTTTCATGAACTATTTGTTTATACTTTGAACACTGTTGTGGGGTAGCTTTATTTCGATTGTAAAACATGTTATTGATTAAGTATATGATAAAAAAGTATTTTCCTACCCTAAATGCATGCACAAAAGGTGAAACTGGAAACATGTGGAAGCATTCGTATAATGGACATGAGTTGAGGTATTTGTTTATTGTGTTTGATGATTTTGCTATTACAATTGACATGCTTTTACATCTTTCTATAGAAGGGGTCAAATATCGCATTGAATAAGAGTACATGACACAGCTGCTTTCCAAAATGCTTGAGAATATACATGGGTTACTGAATTTGGATAATCCATGATTTAGTTCCATCTATAGATTTTGGCCATTAATCCCTGTGCGACTTGGGTACAACTTTTCTCCTTGGCAACCATGTAAATGCGACCAAATGGCCAATTTATCCTTGCATTCCATAAACCAAATTTCATAATACAGGTCAACTTTAATGTTAGTGGATTTGGGAGAAAAAATAGGACAAATAGGTAAATGCATTCTACTTACTCCTTCAGATTAGGGTAAATTGCATATATACAACAGGATGGATTTTTATTGTCTTTTGTTTTATTCACTTTGGCTTTGTATGCATTCATCGTAGATAAAGCATACAACCTGCAAAAGAGTGTAGTTTCATTAAATGATTCCATATCCACAACCAATTTTAATAACTATTTGTTTTAATTAATCAATGGTAGTACATTGATATTTGTAAAGCAAACACATTAGTTCTTCAAAGTCTATGCATAAAATTTTTCTATTCCCATAGTTAACACCATATGTCGGTCTTCTCATTCATCGTAGATAAAGCATACAAGCTACATTGTCTATTTTTAGAGTTAGAGGAAAAGTCACTATACAAATGGTGGTCTTCTCATGCAGGATATTAGTAAGTATACTATTATATTTGGGCTGCAAATCACAGAAGAAGAAAAAAAAAGAGATGAAATTGCAAGAAGGGAATTAGTACTGTTAATCTTTTATTGAAAAAATATTAAAATTAGTAAAAGACTAAACTTATATGAACAGAACTTAAAATTTCAAAAGGAAAAAAAAAACTGTCCATGTTACTCATTGATTGAAGAAAAAAGTTCAAAAAAATTTATAATATTTTTACTTTGGACCAGAATACCCTTTTATTTCAGACATTCCAGAACCGCTCGAATCTTATTGACATTTTCATCATGTTTACCCTCATTTTTTTATGACTTTCTGGTTTTTGGTGATTTCTGTCTTCTGGTTGTGTATTATGTATTTTTGTTATTATCTGTGTGTATGTATATGTAGATGTCATCCTCAATAATAAACGACTATTTATTCGAGAACCGTTATAAACTAAAATGTAAGATTTTTAGAAACTTAACAACATAGTATTATTTATAAAGTTTAAATACAAAGTTGAATCCAAATATTTGTTGTACAGACACCTCTCTCATACTTAACCCATTAAGCCCATCTGTTTGTACTTTGTCATGAAAATAAACAAAACCTAAGTAGAAAAAATATTGTGATGAAGAAAAGAAAAGGGGTCGGCACCTTCTCCACTGAGGTTGATTCAGCAGGAAGATCTTGTGCTATCACCTGCGTTAAGATATCATTTGAGCTTATATGGCACAAAACATAATTTACAGTTTGTTAAAAAACAAATGTTTTTTATCTTTATACATTACATAATTATAGTAAATAATCTAGAAACACTCACATTATAATCTGTCGAGCCTTGTTATCAACTGTTACAATGGCAGAGCTAACACGAAACTCAAGCATCTTTTTTGTTACCATTACCACTGTGTCGAAAGGAGAAACAGCCACAATCCTATATGAGGAATAAGTATGATTTGGATTATATTTTGGAAATTATAAAGATAGTTTAAAGGTATTACCTACTTTGAATTATAAATATAGTTAAACATCTTTAAGTGTTTGCACGGACGTGTTGGGACCTGTAAAAATGACCACTAAAATGTGTTGCTATTACCTAGCTTTTTACTGTATAAAGACTGGTAAAAAGAAACACGCATATATAGTTTACCAAGTAAAGTAGTACCCCAGTGCTTTCCAACACCTTCAACAGCAGCTGCTCTAGCTTTTTCCTTTTCAGCTGCGTTTTCCATACGTCCAATGGCATAAGATAAGCATTTTGCTATGTTAAGTAAAGCAATAACCTCGTCATTCTCTGTATCTAAAACCAAATTTTGCAAGGATTCAACTACAAGAGTAATAGAGAACACATAAATTAGGTTCTTTTTCATTACCTTTGAGACTGGTGTGTTCATAAAATCAATCTGACGACCAATCACTCATGTTGCAATATCCTTCAAACACCAAAAAAACGTAATTTTGGAAACTTTATTCTAATCTGATGTATCGATCAATGTTCTGAAACAGGGTAAGTGATTCAAGACAAACATTGTTTGTCAATATGCCACTGAGTAACGCACTTGAATGAATAAGTAAAAGAGCATCAACTATTTGAGTAGGCATCCGACAGCAGGCTTCATAAAGAGCTATGGTTTCAGGTACTGTTAGGCCCTTTGTTAGGTGCAATCGCTTTACTGTATGTTCTCCTGTTGATCCCCTATTGAAATGAATGTCAACATACTGTTAGGTTTTCGCCACCGATCATTTGATTCTTTACATTAATATGAAACTAAAATAAGCTTAAAGTTGTACTAAGTAAAAAGATTTGAACATCATTTTTTTTCTAATTTTATTAAAGATCAGGCATAAATACATCACATTTATAGATGAAGGAAAAGTGATCTGATAAGCAGGAAATCTGTATCCATACCTACCAAAGAGACCATATTCTTCCAATTCTGTCCATGTAATCACGATACCAATCTGTCAGAGATATGTAGTAGTACGCATGTACAAATTCATGAAACGTAGGTGGGTCAATTCAAAGATGTAAATCCAAATTCAGTGACAAACTGTTAGATTGTGGCGTAAAGAGATTCAGAAAACTAAAAAATACATGGAAATCCAAATTTATGGGGTAAAGTGAGCATACCCTTTCGTTTGACAGGTATATGCTCTCCGCTCTCCATTGACCAAGCCAAGTCAAACGTTGTAGCATAGAATGGTTATTTTAAACATCTCCAACTTCAAATGAGACATGTTTATTGTTCATTGATTATCAAGTGAGAATATATATATATATATATATATATATATATATATATCCAAGAAGATGGGTTAGTTAGTATGTTGATTTTTGAAGGAAACTGTAAAATTTTATACCTTGTTGGCCACTCCTTGAGTAGCTACAAGCGCATCGACAGTATTCGATAGTAGTAAAATATGAGGTCATTCAAGCACAACATTGTAGATTGATGAAACGACCTGTGAATTCTAAACAATCACACTACAATCAAATGAATTAGGTCTTGAAGGGGGAAAAATCAAATTGTTTCACAACAAAAAATCAAAATAAAGAGTAAACACAAAAAGAAACAAAGAGATTCGTAGAAGCATTGATGATTTTCCCTTTGAAGATGAAGATGGTTCTGACAAAGCTGAGGTTAGGATTCTGAGATCAGAGGGTTCTCCTGCATGAATTCGATGATCGTAATCGGTTGCAGGAGAAGCAGCGACTGGGGAGAAATGTAGTATCCTTTGGAAGGATGGATATCTGCGATAAACCACCGATTCAAGACCAAGAAGTGAAGGACCGATGGCGTGACTATACACTGGAGTCCGGAGCGCAGATGGAATCCCCAACAACAGGTGGGGTCATGTCGGAGATCGCCGGTGGTTCGACTTTTGTGGGTGAACGTGGAGGTGAATGTGATTGATAATTCTTGCCGATAGAGCGTGGATGGTTCCTGGATTTGGGAGAAAGTCGGGTGAAGAAGAGAGATAAAAGCAGACCTTATAGGATGTGACATCCCCAAAATCACGGCCAGAAAAGAACGGTTTTGTTTATACTTTATTTCAAAATCAGAGTTATCTTTTAATAAAAGGGTTGCGGAATTTGTCCCAAAACAATAATATGATAAATATTTATCAAAAGCATTTCCATAGAAATGTATTTCATTAAAAGACTCGGGATGTCATGTTCGTACAGATCAAAAGTATAAACAGTACAATATAAGCCTTACTACATTATTTCATATCTACAGGCCTATATCAGTAATCCCTCGTCCAAAACATCACACCTATGCTCATGCGCCACTACCTGTAATACATAAAACTGAGTGGGTCAGGCTTGGGAGCCTGGTGAGCACATAGTGTTTTCAACCCACAATAAATAAGTTTATTAATTTCATCAATCAACAATAACCCGATTACCCGTTCCCGTTATCCTCACTTTACGTCCCTAAACACCTATCATAAGGGACCTAGACTAAGGATCATCATCGGGACAGACACTACTGCTAAGGGGATTCCTCAGCAATAAATGTCCTAATAGGCAACCATGTGGGGGATGGAGTACACCGGTGAACACATCGTTCACAACACCTACAGGTTGCGAGCCTGCTAGTGTTCCACTGGACTGTCTAGAAGAGTCCGTGGTCGTCATCTATACTCCGCTAGATGACTGGATCAACAACAACAACATCGAGGCCTCTCATCATTTTATCACACATCACCTATTACATCTACCCATGTTTTACCCCAACATTTTCGTAGATATAAAATACATATACAGTTTAAATCATTGAAAACATGTATAACAACGTTCATCTAGCATAGATAGCAAGTATTCAGATAATATGCACACATAGCACGTAATTTATATAAAATACTTCATATCTATGTGTAAGTTGAAAGTAACTATGCACTCACCTGATTAGGTGGTGACTCAGCACTTGGACAGCGCTTCGATACTCTCACAACGATTTTCCTTTGATAAAATAGTGGGTTTTTCTCGAAAACCGGGCTTCGCTGGAGCAGCGTTCCCGAGCCGAAAGGCTCTTTTCTCGGGACTCCGGGAGCCTCGGGGCTTCCTTTGGGTGCTAGGGGTTTACCTAGGCTTTTAGGGGGGTTAGGGAGCTTAGAGGAGAGTTTAGAGAGAGAAAGAAGAGGGGTGAGGGGTGAGGAAATGAGGGAACCCGGCACCTCTATTTATAGGGGAGGATTCTGATGGACTCGCCGAGTAGGGGGACCTACTCGCCGAGTTGGTCCATGTGGTGGCCTTCTGGTGGTGCCACGTGTCCAATTCTGGTGGTGCCACGTCACCCCTATCGCGTGTCAGCCCTCAAACTTAGAAAAATCATAACTTTCGCATACGAGCTCCGTTTTCGACGTTCTTTATATCCACGCGTACGTAAAATCAAGATCTACAACTTTCGTTTAGACTCCGTCGGCTTTCTCGACCGATCTCAAATTTAACAGTAGGAGGCGTTTAGACTGTTAAATGACCGCGAAGAGTTCATAACTCCTTCATACGGACTCCGTTTTCGTCTGTCTTTTTACCGTTGAGTTCCTATGAATGAGATCTTCAACTCTCATTTAGGTCGCGTAAGCCAAAAACCGCTCGAACTAAAATTCGAGTTTCGGGCCGTGCACTGCTAAGCCGAATCTTAGAAAAATCATAACTTCTTCATACGAAGTCAGATTTGGGCGTTCTTTTTATCGATGTTCTTAGTTTAACATATTCTACGACTTTTGTTTAGATTGCTAAGGCTAAAAAGTCTTCTATCGTAAATTCACTATTTACATCTCCCGGTGCCGTGCCGGTTTTGCCGTAAAACATTGGCGGGTCATAACTTCTTCGTTATAGCTCGGATTTCGGCATTCTTTATATCTACGGAAACCTTGAGACATATTCTACAACTTTGTGTAGAGATATTGGGATTATCTCACACTTTAATTTTGACGCTCATTTTTATTCTTTATTAATTATACATTTATAATTAAATCATAAACACATAAACACACATAATTCACATAATACTCAAATATTTCATATTTATTACTTCAAAAAGAGTTACAATAGTTGACCTAGACTATTACATTGAAAAAAATGCTTAGCCCTGAAACCCGGGCGTTACAATTCTCTCCCCCTTAGGATGATTCCGTCCTGGAATTATGCATCAGCAAACAGATGTGGATAGCGACTCATCATGTCATCCTCTGTTTCCCAAGTGAGATTCGGCCCATTCGAATGTTTCCATCGGACTAGCACCAAGTCTACCATCTTGCGTCGTAACTTCTTAGTCTTACGGTCAACAATTGCCTCAGGCTCTTCAATCAGCCGTTTATTCTCATCCATCCTTAACTCTGAAATTGGAATTATGTCGGGAACATCTCCCATGAATTTCCTCAAATAACACACATGGAAGGTGTTATGAATACCATTGAGTTCTTCGGGCAATTCCAGCTTGTAAGCTTGGTTCCCAATCTTCTGAAGAACTTTGAACGGTCCAATAAACCTTGGACTCAACTTTCCTCGTTTCCCAAATCGTATAAGTCCCTTCCATGGTGAGACTTTAAGCAAAACGGAATCCCCAACTTCGAAGGTTATCGGTCATCTTTTCTTGTCAGCATAGCTCTTCTGACGATCCTGAGCTGCTAACATTCTTTCCCTAATCACCTTCAATTTCTCAGCAGTCTCATGGACCATATCAGGGCCCATAAACTGCTTCTCTCCAGCTTCAAGCCAACAAGACGGCGTACGACACTTCTGTCCATAGAAGGCCTGATAAGGTGCCATCTTGATGCTCGAGTGAAAACTATTGTTGTAGGAAAATTCTACTAGAGGTAAGTGCTCGTCCCAATTCCTTTGGAATTCGAGGGTACATGCTCTCAACATATCTTCCAATGTCTGAATCGTTCTTTCGCTCTGACCATCAGTTTGCGGATGGTAAGCAGTACTCAAACACAACTTTGTACCCAACTCCTCTTGTAGACTCCTCCAAAACCTCGATGTGAAACGACTATCACGATCTGACATAATCGTAAGAGGGACACCGTGAAGTCTTACAATTTCCTTCACGTAAGCATTTGCGAGCTTATCCATAGACCACTTCTCGTTGGCTGCTATGAAGTGTGCAGTCTTGGTGAAACGATCCACGACTACCCAAATCATGTCGTGTCCGTTCTTCGTTCTGGGCAGTTTAGTCACAAAATCCATGGTGATGTCTTCCCATTTACCCATGGGTACAGGTAAAGGTTCTAAACCCCCATACGGTTTCTGATGTTGTGCCTTAACCCTCGCACATGTTACGCACTCAGCCACATACTTCGCAACATCGAGCTTCATCGTCGGCCACCAGTAGTAGGGTTTTAGGTCCCTATACATTTTAGTGCTACCGGGATGAATCGAGTA